ATGTTCTCAATCTTAATGGGGGAGAGTGTAACGGGGTTACACATACCCTGGTAACAGGAGTGTATGTCACACAAGATCGGTATGGTGTGACCACACCCAAACGAGAATTTGGTACGGGGCCTATAGCCAGTAGTTATACATGTATTTAGATTTTACTATACATATTTATGAAAATCTATGCATTTAAAATTAAGCGGCTTTGCCGCAGATCAAACAAAATACAGTCAGTTTTGAATTCAAACCGAAGAGTTAATTAGCCTAGCATTAAGGCTATAATTACTCTTGGTTTAAGCGGATTGCGATCCGCTAAATTCGTACTTGTTCTGAGTATACGAACGAGAGGTCGGTGACCTAACTTACGCTTCCTCAAAGCGCAAAGCTACGGCAGTCCCGCTGCAATCAAGAGTAACAAGCGATGTAGCGATTGTCGATGATTGAGCAAAACAACATGCCTTTCGTTTACGCACTTTTATGAGATAGGCGTGTTCGTTCACACTACGAACACCACCAGGCATCGCAATCATGTTATTTGTAAGAGAAAGCCTCATGCCCCCATCACCAAATTAAAGTAAATACTGACGCAGGATTACCAAGACGCTGTCGAGCACCACCCAGTAATTTCTGGAGTAGAGCGACCTTGGTCGCCCCTCTTGGGCATCGAACCGCTTGACCAGACGCTTGCGGGGAAGTGAGGACTGCATGTAGTATTATTCGAGTGGCACCGAGAACATTTGTGGACTTTGCTGATGAGTTGTCCAAGACGAGGACTGAGTGAGGTAACTGACTCTTCTGCTAGCCATTCAGTTTCCCCAAATATCTTTAACTATTTCGACTTTCACTGGCTATGGAGGCATCATGCAAAAGTTGATCAAAACATTTAATTTATGCCCGCTGATCGACGAATAAGATGTTGCTTCTAATAAAATCGGGTACCGATCCTTGGCTCAAGCGGTTTGTAGCTTTGTCTGGGACGAGGAGGTACTTGATGGGATACCCATAGGACCCGAATCCAGGACGCCGGAGATAGGCTACTAAAGTGGACGAGCGAGCACACCCCTGTGCTGTGACCGCCCTGCCAACCCGCACCCAATTGAGTGTGTGATAGTTGGGTGGAAGGAGGCTACTGACCGAAAGGATTCCCTAGTGTAATAATGTGGTACGGATCCCGACCTGAATTAAGTCGGATAACTACCAGCATCCCGCGCTAATTCCAGCGTTTGGGTTCCGGCAGCTTAAAGCTCTAATGGAATTAGGGTTAGATGTAAAGATAATGACCGATGGATGCACTTTACTATGTCGATCACAAAGTAAGTCGAATGAGGCGGTAGATTTCACTTCCACGAAGTGCTTGAATGAACTTTAAACGCGATACTATCTTCAAACATCCTCTCTCATATTGAACTACGTGGAAATCCGTCTTTACGCCTAGAAAAGTTGCAAAACTACGTTGCTGGTTCAAATCTGCCACGGCAGATCTGAACCGTATAAAGACAGACCACATAGCAGTAAAATAGTGAGTCTTAAAATGCTTGAATGAAGCACAAATTTCTGTTTCGACTTGGTTTCCAATGTCACATTTTGCATGACAAGCTCTCTATGTGCGGATTAGCTTGTGCCTTGGAACAGCCATATTTTACGCTGTGTTCATCTCGAGGCTAAGCGAACTCATCATAAACCTATAATTTGACAAAATATCGCTTGCAGTAGAGATGTTGTAATCTGAGGAATGCTGGTCTTAACATAAGTAATCCTACTTGTACAAGCCAGGTAACAAGTAGCACACCGTGTAATGAAAGCTCAAATTTACATGAACCTTATGCTTTCGACATCACCAAGTCATGATAAGCAAAATCCGCGTAATCGGACAGTGGACAAAAAAGTGAGTTGCAAACGCATGAAACCACGTAAAAATACAATGTTCTTAGGCCTTGGTCTGATGTGATCTCTTCTTAATCATTTGTCTAAAATAACTGTCAAGGAATGTGCCGCCCGCGTTTAAGACGGTTAGCAAGTGCTTAGTCTACGTGTCACTCGCTGTCCCAGCGCACCCCCCAATACCCAACTTGCTAGTCTTGTCTTATATTACTCTACCTCGTATTGGTTCTTAATACTCTCAGCTACATATCGATATAGCACTGCACAATCGATCATTGGCTATCAAACTTGATCAAAACAATTGAAGAGTAGTATTATGTCTACAAATCGATGAGCTTGTTCTATTTGAGGTCCCGCCGCCACTTGTTTCGTCATGTGCGCTGCATCTCGTCGAGTCTCGAAACTCATCTACAGGACCTCAATGCTAGCGGTCAGATAGGTCGTGTGATTTTTGGTGCTAATGTTGCATCAGCTCAGCTTGGTGCCATAAGTCGCGCCGTGGGTATTAGCAAAGTGTTGCTCGTGCGAGACCGAGATGCTGGTGCAACCTCGCGCACTAGATTCGCCGAGTTCTTACTCATGCAAGCAGGTGTTCCCTGTTTTCAGTACACTTTAAAGCGCGACTGCGCCACTCTTGAGGATGTGGACCATGCAGCAGCCACAGCGCAACGTGTAGGTGCCAACGGCATTGTAGCTTTTGGCGGCGGCAACACAATGGATGTAGCTCGTGCGGTAGCACTTGTGCTAGCTGCTGGAAGTAAAGCTACGGACTATGTTGACGTAGCGAAGGAAGTTGAGTCGCTGAAAGGAAAAATTGATAACCTGCCAGTCATTTTGGTCCCGACCATTGCCGGGTCGGGCGCTGAAGTGGCTCATTATTCAGTGTTGCTAGATGAACATGCTGACACAAAGGTGCTTTTCGCACCGGAATTGCCTAGTGTACCCGAGGTACGTAAAAGTTGAAGTTGCTGTGTTCATCGTCTAATTTGCAATAATATAATATCTAGGCAATACTTATTGACCCCACATTAATGGTGACAGTACCCCTTGAGCGGACCGTTCAGGGTGCACTGACATCATTAGGTCAGTGCCTCGAGAGTTTTTTATTGGGTTGTGGAGAGGATGCAATGGAAGAAATGGCAATGGCAGGATTTGCAGCGATAGCGGAAGCTTTTGCTTTGGCTCTTAAGGAAGACAAAGTAGAGCTCAAAAATGCTAGTTTGCGCGAAAGTTTTGCTTTCGGTAGTCTAGTATCTGGTATTGCTGCCAATTCTTCAGGCACAGGTGCAACCCAGGCATTAGCTATAGCAGTAGGTGGAATTTCCGAAATACCTCACGCACAAGTGGCGTCGGCTTTATTGCCATTTGTGTTTGATCGGTATTCTGAGTTGGTGAGTGAGAATGAAGGTGATCCATTTTTCGACGAGTTGCGTAAGAAGCTGGAACGTGCCGATGACCAACTGGCAGCTCTCAGTGGATTCCAAGGCGTTTCTGTGGCTGAGTGGATTCGAAATGTCATTATCCGCTTCAAGCTGCCCACAGTCTCGACACTTAATCTTGAAGAAAATTTGTTGAATGGCCTTGTTGATCGTGCTGTTCAGTACCAGGACGAGACAATGGAGAGATTCCGAAGCGACGATAATGGGGCTATTTTTGAAAAAGACGATTTCAGCGCAATTTTGGGTGCTGCGATGACGTCATAAAGTCAATTAATTAGAGAGAGTAGCGATTAGACAACTCAAATACAGTTTTCACTTGATAAGTCAGTCAATTTCATGTAATTTAGTACCCGATTTATGGAATGGAAATGTATGGAGTTGAGCGCCAACCATTGTAGCGACCAATATGATTGTAGTTATGGTGTTTATCAATATCGCGATATTGCTTCACCACGCCAGTAACCAGCAAAGCAAACATTGCCGCCAAAAAAGCCCACCAAAGTTTTGGAATTGCGGACATCCATAACTCGCTATGTTCCAAATGGGAATAAAAACATTTTATATCCTCATTTGTTGGGTACTTGCCCGTGAAGTATCCAATTCCCCGTATAATTGACACGGCACCCACAAAACTGCTGGCAATAATAGTAAAATGACGTACTAGTAACCATCCAAGCATTCCACCTAACACGATAATGGCTCCATTTAGTACAGCACTTAAGTCGATGGGAAGCATTTGGTAAGGAAGTGACAAAGTAATTGCATAAGCAAACATAGATCCGACCAGAAATACGCCAAACGGGAAGAAAGCCAAAGCGACGCAGCCTCCAGCCACCCCAAAGACAAAAAAACTGATCCAGGAAGCTGCAAGTACCCACGTCCCAAGTCCAAATACACTCGCCAGTGCCAAGGACATGAACGTTCCAGTGACAACAAAGCCGCTCAGAAATATGATCGCCCGTAAAAGTCGAAACCCGTAGAAACAAAGGCTGAGACCTACAAAAATGGCGAACTCAGCAGCGACACCTGGTTCAACGTGGAGATGATGCGGAAAGTATTCAGATCGTCGCTTATGTCCATACACAGAGAGCAGACATAGCGCGAGAATGAGTACAATAAAGTTGGAAGACATCATCATTCTCTTTTGCTAATATGAAAGGAGTCTGGGACGAGGTGAGAGCATTATGCTTCACTCAGAAATTGGTTGTCCCTCTCTGATAAGTTTCAGGAAGATTTCTGGATCAATATACCAACATGATTGGACCAGTTCACATCCTCTTAGCGCGTACATTTGACCCCCTTCATGTTTGGACGAACTCGGTTTGCGCGACTCTTTCATGTCAATCAAAACCCAGATTACCGAGTCGCTTATTGGGATGGATACAAATTTAGCCAGCCACGCTCGATCGTCCAAAGAATCATCTCGTGTATTAGCTCAATTTTTTGCTTTTCATTGTTTTTAATCTGGTGTAAGCGTTATCGGAGAACTAGAGCACATTTCGACAACAACGATATTTTTTGAAAGAAAAGGCGAAGTTGTAGAATTTCTTAATTTCCTGTGCCTGATGCTGATAGCTACAGTTGAAAATTCGATTGATCATGACCAGTCGGAGCCGATCCTCAGGTCAAGAATATAGCGAAAACCTCGTAAACACGGGATTCGAAATTGACGTTTTGTTCGTCAACTCAAATCAATGTCTGCAGGAGTACACTTTTATCGACCACGAAGCAGCATCAATCCGAGATAGCGAAGATTGCATTCCAACCAGCGATTTTTCCTGTAGGGTCAACACGAATTCTGCGCGAGCTAACATGAACGCTTTGTACACGAAATAAGTGTTGCCAATCAGCAGACCATACATATATTGCCACATAATCTCAGATGCCGTTAATAAGCACTCGATAACGCAAAAACATCAATCGGTGATGTATGATCTCAACTGTCTTTAACCTCAAATGCTTTCGCACTTTTGATCATAACGGAATGTCGAGAATTTATGTAGCAGTAGTATTGCCCCAGAGATTTTAGGAAAATCTTTCGCGTTTGCTGAGATAGTCTTTAAGTCGATGTCCATAGCTCCAACACCACCATGAGCCCAAGAAATACACCCTTTCTAAGCGAAAGTCAGACCCGAAAAGGTTCAGCTTGCTCAACTGCTGTTAATGAAAAAATCTGATGAAAAGTCGATATCGCTTAAGCAAAAACATTCACCGATCATACAAGGCGAATTGTGATAAAATTCTGATTCAGTGATAGACGTCGCGCCGGTCGCAGTACGTTACTGAGAATTGGCTGAAGTCCCATCAATGAGAAAGCAAGGCTCACCATTACACATGTACACCCACAGCCAGCGTGAGTGGCACCACCAGAATACAATATGACAATCCTTTTCCACCCTCATGGAATATAGAAATAGAAGTGGATTTGACGACAACTGCACATATTATCCACATCAAGAGGCCAAGGGATCAGGAGTCTTAATCTCTTCCATTACAAAATGGTAACGAGAAACCACTCAATGTATGTGGCCCAACCCCAAGTTTGTGGTACAAACGATTGTCTTTTTTTAAATGCCAGTTCACGCCTGTAGTCAAATTTGAGAGAGCGATCTGTCCAGCAATTTTCACGACATAAGCTGAAAACGATATAACAGCGAGTAATTTGAGTTCAAGTACCCTTTACCAGAAGAGAAGAAAATCCAGTCTCACATGACGCTACATACTTTTATGCAACTTCTCTCCACAAGCAGACATTTGATGCTAGAGCTGAACCCCCTTGTTAGATAGTCATTGACAAATGTCATCCCAAATATATTTCATGAGCAAAAATTTGCGGCACGGAATGAATAATTGACGCGGATAAAAATCCTTGTTGTAGCAGCAAAATTATACATACCTGATGATGTACGCAATAAAATATGTGTGTAATGACACCTGTTTTTTTAAGGAATACATCAGAATAATAAAAATGATTCTAAAGATCATGTACGTCTCTGCGCAACATAAACAACCTCATACATTCTGCTTTTTAAAAAATCGAGAAGATTGAATAGCTGAAGAAAAATAAACAGACAGCAAGGAGTAGGCTTTGCTAGATCGCGCCTAATAAGTCATTGTCGCAAGGTGCTGAGGCCATTTACGGCTGAAATGGGTAAGCTGGCAGACATTGGCCTTGTGCTGCTCGCTCGCGATGTAACCAACGATATGGAGAATAGCGAGATATATATTTTTCCGCAATTACTACCACATAGTGCCTCCTCATAGGCTCATTTAAATAAAGCTTTTAAAACACAGAAAGCTGATAGCGTTTATTTGGTCGTCAGGATGATGAAGCATTCAAGAAATTATCTGACCTTTTCAAATTCTAGATTATAATATATGATTACGGCAGTTGTATTACACATGTTGCCTTTACTGTAGCATCCACGGTACGCTAAGCTTTTGACTGGCCAAATGATAACAGCTGCTTTCCAAGCTAACAGATGGAAAAGACGCAAGACGTTGAGAAGAAAAATTGCCGATAGCATTTCGCTACAGATAATTTCGCTGTGCAGCTCTTAATCACCGACCTACACATAGTATTCCTCGACAACGTTACCTCAAGTTATATCGTTTCCACTCCAACCGTTTGCATGACGCCACAAAGGGAATGAGATTGATAGCTGCTCGTCCTTCTTATGTTATGTCGTTCGTTGTTGTTTCCCAACAAATTCAAATACGTTTATACGACAAGACACGTCGATGCAAGAAAGTCGCATGCAACACAAAAAATATTATCTGTGAAAAGGTATAGTATATGATGCATATTTCAAATGTTCAGACGTTCGCTGTACATAAAAATTCGCGAACTTGAAGGCCTAGCGCTGGAGCACTCGATCAAATCTGTCGTGTTAATCTTCCACTATGCAAAAATTGAAGATTTTATAAGCTTTTCTACCGTTTCGCAGCCACGCCTTCTCGAGTGCCGTACTTTTACCTAATAGCCAACTCTCCTATTCGTCGCGTGTTGACGCTGTGTCCAACTTGGTCCACCAAACATGTTCAGTCAGAAGAAAGTGAGAACCTGCACACGAGACGAGTCACAGGTCCTACACTCATTTGAGACCCACTTTGCGCACGCATATCCATAGTCTCCTTTTAATCGATTCTCTGATTAATCGATTCTCTGAGCGTTGACGACACCACGGCGATAGCACTCTCGCAGCCAACTTCATACAATTGTCAGAGTCTATAACAAACGGACGTATATTGCTGTTTTAAGGTATGATCAGAAAGGAGAAGGCACTGACCGATTCAAAAACGCTCCGAAGCATTGTGGGTTCCAACATTGGCCCGTCGGGGATGTCGACGACATCGCTTGACTTTGATGAGGTTGACACTTCTTATAGTTCAACCTTTTCTGACAGCAGTACTTACGCCAACGACGAGATGGACACATCAGACGACGAAGCCGTCGATGATCTGCTGTATAGAATAGCAGACGACATGATTGGACGCAATGAACCCTTTCAATCTCCTTTTGGCGTCAAAGCTCAATGCTATGCGGACTACACAGCTAGTGGCAAACCGCTTAAGAGTATTGAGCACTTCATGCGTCATAAGGTCATGCCAACTTATGGCAATACACACACCATGACATCTGTTTCAGGATCACAGACGACGGCATTTCGAGAAGAAGCCCGCGCAATTATTGCAAAGTCAGTAAATGCTCGCGGGTCTAAGGACGTGGTGCTATTTGCAGGCCAAGGCTGCACAAGTGCAATTCAAAAATTGATTACAGCCCTTGGTATTAACACGTCAAGGCGACTGCGACGTCCATCGAAACGTCCAGTGGTTTTTACATGTCCATTTGCGCACCACTCGAATCTGCTGCCGTGGCGAGAAAGCCTCGCAGCTGATATTGTAGAGATTCCTGAAGCTAACGGTGGTGGTCTGGACGTGAAGGAGTTAGAGCGTCAATTAAGACTCTACAGCAATCGCAAACTCAAGATTGGCACGTTTACTGCTGCTACAAATCTCACGGGA